ATTTTTCACAGAAATTTCATATACATCTTCTACCAATATCTGATGTTTGTATGATAAAGGGAAAAATGCCGCGAGCATATGCAGAGCTCGCGCGTCTACTGGTTGGTTACAACAAATTTGCTGGTCTACAAAAGAACATAAAAATTCAACTTCAATATTATTTGCGAGCGCTCGAGTTTGTTTTCTTGCTGCTGCAAGTATTATGTTCAGGTTTCGTGCGTGTAATATGACGGGCGTGAATGGACTAACCACTCTGTTTAAAGCTGAGAACCATGTCGGGGAATTGGCAAAGCAGAGAGTCAGAAAAGACCAGTCGTTAAAGAAACAGAGAGAGTGAGTAGAATTGTGGCAAATGGCATTACCGAGCTTTGAGAAGGTGCTCACGAGAACTGACATACATGAAATGTTGGTGATTCCAACTCATTTCATGCAACATTTGCCAGGTGTTGAAGGAGGACAGTCAGTGGAGCTGACCGTGAATGCCTCTGGAACTCAGAGGACATTCGGATACTACACCCGCGACGGTCCTAACCGTAGACCTGTTCTGAGATCAGGCTGGCGCACTTTTGTTCGTGACAAGGGACTGGAAATCGACCACAAGATCTTATTTGAGTGTGTGGATGGTTTCCCACAATACCAGATTCGAGCTCAAAAGAAAATTATTCTCCTGGGTCAGGAGACATGGGCTGACTTCTAAGGTGTTTCGAACGTTGCTGCTTGTGGTTGCACCTCGCCCTTCCAAAAATTCACCATGTTCAATAATAAATAAATTAAACTAGGAATCTATGTCCTGTTGTTATGCAATCTTTGTAGTCTTATTTGTTTTTGCTGTAATTTTAAGTTGTTTGCTCACTTCTGAATTCCATTGGGTGTATTGTTTTGGTTAGCATTAGACAGTCTTTGTACTTGTTCATAATTTTAAGTTCGTTTTGATAATATAATTTGAGTTTAACTTGGTAATCCCTTTTTTTCTTTTCATGTTTCAAGTTTGGACTTTCTATAAGTTGGATTCGTAATACATGTACAGATCTTCAATGTAGCAATAACTATTATGAGAAGAGAAAGCCTCTAAAATTTAAACCACACCTACAAACAATAGTAAACAGTTGAGGGTTCACCTCATCTATGACCTTCAGTTTGGATTCCTAATCCATTTTGCTAAACTAGACCAAAATTTGCTGCCTTCCAGCTCCACAAAAACCAGGATGAGTGAAAGCAGAAATTATGTATATTTAGTGCATGAGTAGCTAATAAATGGATTTAACTTCTACTGGATCTTGTGCAATACGCTTGAATTGGAAGATATGGACATTAGAAGGGGTACAGAGGAGTGCTATTCTGCTCTAAATACTCGTTTTTTATGAGATGTTAT